ACCAATTTGCCATTCGTATATGTATACAAACGAAAAGACCTTGAATTCGGCCATATACATTTTGAATCCCATGAAGATGCTTGCCGTTTTCTACATGACATGTCAAAAAGACCTTTCCACGGACTTAATAATGAAATGAGAAAAATCAAAATTTCTGAATCAACTTATTTTGGCTCCTGAGTTAAGGTCGACTACAGCACAGTAAAGATTTAATTTATTTTTATTTTATTTTTATTTTTTATTTTTTTTCTTTTATTTTTACATAATGTTTAATTTAGGCTCTTAAAAAAAGAAAATTTCAAGCTAGTCCACGTGAAACAAATGATAATAACCATCAATATAGCGACAATGACAAATACACTCTATATGACGACTCAAATAGTCAAAAATACAAAGTGGTTTTGCATACACCAGGTGTTAAAAACAAAGCTCAATTTAAAATAATCATCGAAGAAGAAGGCAAAGCTGTTACTGTTGAATGTGAAGTTATTAAACAAGTTGTACCTGGAATAAAGATTTATGACAATATTGCATTAAATTCATTTCGAACCAGGATTATATTTCCACAAAAGTAAGTTATTGTAATATATTTTTTCATAAACTTTTATTATTTTTTAATGTTAATAATTTCTTAAAAATAAAAGGATCGATACAACATCAAATGTCAATGTCACGATGGAGTATGGAATCACTACACTAATCTTCAAAAAGAAAGTTGAACCAAAACGCGTTCTATTAACTTTACAATAGTTTTTTTGCTTAAAGTGAACTAAAACACGTTCTATTATGTTCGAAATAGTTTATTTTTTTTTTTTTTTGTTAAGTTTTTTTTTTTTTTTTTGATAGTTTTTTTTTCCTAAAAAAACTTTTTTTGAATACAATAAAATAGGTAGGCAATTGTAAAAATACGCGTCTGGTTTTTTAATATTAAGAAAATTTATCGTAAATGTAAATAAATCTGATAAAACGCGACGTACTATGAAATTTGTTTATTCTAAAGTTTATTCATTAAACGA